GATGTAACGGATAGGTGACCAGCAAGATGTAACGGATAGGTGACCAGCAAGATGTAACGGATAGGTGACCAGCAAGATGTAACGGATAGGTGACCAGCAAGCTGGCTAGTGCGAAACTCTCCTCAGGATGTTCCTTGGGCCGCAGTCACTGCGAAGTTTCCTCATTCGGCCCAGCGCTCTACATAATTGGCCACCCCCGGTGTAGATGCATGTTTTTGATGCACTGTCGTTCTTCATGTATTCAGATACATTTTACTTTCAGTGAACTGTGTCTTACGTTTCGCTCTGCTGAATCTCGACAACTGCGAGAAGCCTTGGCATTTAGCTTCATTGTTGTAATAAACTGCACATAAGCTTCTTTATTGCCACAACCGGTTTAATTCGTTTTCTACCAGTATTCCCAATATTGTCATCTTAATAGTGTCGAAATCTGGTTTAGAAGCCGGTTCTTGCAGAAATGAAACCTCACTACTTCGCATTATTAATATTCGCATTATCTGTGTCTTTATCTCTTGCGCAGGGATGTATTCGCGATAACAGTTTCGTGACCTGTAGTCGAGCAGTGAATATGCCCGTTTCCTTGCTGCATATGAACCTGAACAGTATGGTGTATACGCTACACAATGCATATTAATCATATAGTGACGCAAGGAATTTGGATAGCACCTCGTCGTTTCCTTTAAGACTGAGTAAAACGACGGAAATGCTTGATCGAGTTAGATTCATGTGAAATATTTATTCTCAGTTTACCGTCCACCGTCCAAAAATATCAAGATTTAAAATTAAATCCTTTTTAAAATTCGTTACGGCACTTAATTTTTCGGGTCACGCGGTATCGTTGTTGTTTGAGGCACTATGCTACAAACCAGACGGTCGCGGCGTCGATACCCGATGAGGTCATTATATTTTTCATTTGACATAATCCTTCCAGCCGCGCTGTGGACCTGGAGTCGACTCAGCCTGTAGGAGAAGTGAGTGCTAGGAATCTTCCTGGCGTTTAAGGGCGGCCGGTGCTTAAGGCTGACAACATCACCGCCATCTATGAGAAGATTGTCTAGAAAATGTGGGAGCCTCGACATCTCACAACCCTATGGGGCTCCACGGTCTGTTACAGGAATACTTTTACCTTTTTAATATATGTTTCGGCCTACTCGGTCATCATCAGTTGCGTTGAAATTCTGGGGAACTGCTGTGCTTCCAGCGCTACTGCATCGCTGTTTTCGTATTTACAGTACTTTTAAATGAAGTCGGCATCCACGCTGCACACTAGACACACAACAGGCATACTAAATAAGACAGTACGTGTAGCAGAGGAGGAACTACACTGACTTCATGTAGAAACATTGTAACGAAAATACGGATCCCAGTATCTCAGAAAGCACAGCAGGTCACCCAATTTCAGCGCACCTGATGATGGCCGAGTGGGCCGGAACTGTGTTGCAGTGACGAATTTTAAAAAGGAGTTAATTTTAAATCTTGATATCGTTGCCTGGTGGACACTAAACAGCTGAAAATAAATTCTAATACCAACTGCAACAGGTTGCTAAGATTCAGAATTCTGTAAAGAATATTTGAACATGTAGCACCATTACACAGAGTACAGTCGGTTAGTGTCGTTTAGGGAATTATCATCATCTGTTGTGAGAATCATAGGGAACACACAAGTTCGTGTGTGCGCAAAATAGACGGTTTCTAGATGTTAGCGAAAACGACAGAATGGCTTGTGAAATCTATAGTTTTCACGCTAATTAATATCGAGTCTGCGGTCATATGGGATACTGAACGAGCTGTCATTAGGCGGATAATACGTACAGCACCGAAAGGCAGGTTGAGTGGCGACTGATGAATAGGAACGATTTCCGGGAACGAGGTCGTGACGTAATCAAGGCGCTGTGCCAGCATTTCCCTAGAGGGACTGAGGTTAAACGTAAAAACGCGTCAGTCAGGATGGGTAGTTTCTCGGCAGAAATTCGAACCGAGTCCTTCCGGAATCAGTAAAAAAGGTTCGGTTCTTGAGATGTGGCATCGTGTAGTTTGATAGGTACCAGTGTTCTATGGGAATATACTTCATACATCTTCTGGGTATAAGAAGTTAAGAAATACCCTGAAGAGAGAGGCATTATATCGCGCCGAAAAGTATGTGACACGGCGAACGGCCTCAGATGCGAGAAGCATAGTGAATTATCGGGAATTCCAAGACAGGTCAGCGTACTGTTTCAGTGTTTTATTTAGCAGGATTACAGTACATGAGGTACATACACGTAAAGCAGGTAATCGCATGGTCAGGCGGTTTAGTAATGCTTGTAGGCCAGAGCAGGCGGGCCGTATCTCGGAGCTGCATAAAAGGGGCTAGCATGAGCTGCTGGGGCGGCATATGCCACTGGAGCGACAGCCTTAGCCACGGCGGGGGCGGCATGAGCCACGTATGCTGCTGGCGCGGCATATGCCACTGGAGCCACAGCCTTAGCCACGGCGGGGGCGGCATGAGCCACATATGCTGCTGGCGCGGCATATGCTACTGGAGCCACAGCCTTAGCCACGGCGGGGGCGGTGTAAGCGACGGGAGCAGCATGAGCCACGTATGCTGCTGGGGCGGTATATGGCACTGGAGCGACAGCCTTAGCCACGGCGGGGGCGGCATGAGCCACGTATGCTGCTGGCGCGGCATATGCCACTGGAGCCACAGCCTTAGCCACGGCGGGGGCGGCATGAGCCACGTATGCTGCTGGCGCGGCATATGCTACTGGAGCCACAGCCTTAGCCACGGCGGGGGCGGTGTAAGCGACGGGAGCAGCATGAGCCACGTATGCTGCTGGGGCGGTATATGGCACTGGAGCGACAGCCTTAGCCACGGCGGGGGCGGCATGAGCCACGTATGCTGCTGGCGCGGCATATGCCACTGGAGCCACAGCCTTAGCCACAGCGGGGGCTGCGTAAGCAATAGGTGCAGCCACATTAGCCACAGGGGCTGCGACGACGGCGGGTTCACGGTGCACGACGGCGTTGAATCCGTTCAGAGGGTCGGCGGTGTACTCGACGGTGCGACGTGTCCCGTCAGGCTCCACCAGGCTGTAGCTGCCCTGGACGACATCTCCACTGCGGGTCTCCTGCTGTCCCTTGGAGTCTCCGGTCAGAGCGTCCTGCACTTCGTAAGCGTAGCTGTACTGCGCCGGCGCCGCCGGATGTGCGATTGGAACTGCGACCTTAGCTACGGGGGCGGCATATGCTGCATAGGCCGCAGGTGTTGCGTAGGAGGGGCCGATCAGCCCGGCCCTTGTCATTGAGATCGCTGCCGCCAACAGGAACAGCTGCAAAGGGAACCCAGACATATCGGATTTGCGGTTCTCACAGTTGCATGTGACGCCGTGTAGTCTTGTAGAGTTCTGCCAACGTCTTTCTCGTTTCCTGCTTTGCTTACTTTTCGTTTCTCTGAAACGTCGATGAACTTGTACAAGACTACATGGCGTCACATCAGGTAACAGAGTTCATATCACAGCCTGTTCTCACGAAACCGAACGCTCCTGTCAGCTGCCCCCTACGTCTCTCTCGCTCCCAGGTTCGAATCTCAACGCGGAGACGGACTTTCCTGGCTGAAATTTTAGCATTTCCTCAGTCATTTCCGACAGTACCTCAAATTATAGCATGATCACTTCTTTCCATGAACTTTCATAGCTCAGTGGGTATAACGACTGGCTGGACGACCAGAGTTCGATCCCCGGCAGTGGCAAGATATTTTTTCTCATATCCATAACGTCCAGAACGGCTATGGGACACCCAGGTTCAAATCCAGTGGGTACGGAGGCTGTTTCCCCGGGAGAAAAGCGGCCGCAGCGTGAAGCTGACCACTCTCCTCCATCTGTTGCCGACATCAAGAATGGTGGAACTATACCACCACTCGCCCACACGTCGTCAGGGCGTAGTAATTAATTAGACACAGACAACTTCATCTTTTTTTACCTTGTTTTCCAGTTGAGTGATCTTTGTGTTATTGGGCGCTACAAATCTTTGAGCTACTCACGGTTCCGTTATGTAACCACAAATAAATAAGCAAAATGAAATTCAGTACCTTGTGCCTACACTCAACTTGTCGAGTCATTCCTGTATCGCTCTGAGTGGACTTCAAAATGGCGGTGTGCGCGAAAGTTTTCTTTTAGTTTTCGGTTTTATGGCTGTAACTATTTAACTATTGGAGCTAGGAATATGGTATTTGCTACGGTTGCCAATCATAGACATACCTACACATTAATAATTAAATATCATTTGTAAGTTAACAGTTCTGCATAGTGATTAACTTCATACCTTGTACTAATCTCCTAGTATGATTAGAATGATCAAGTCAAGGAGAATAAGATGGACAGGGAATGTAGCACAGATGGGGCCGAGATGAATGCATATAGGATATTGGTGGGAAAGCCAGAAGGAAAGAGACCACTGGGAAGATTAATACGTAGGGGGGTGGAAAATATTAAAATGGATGGTATGGGTTGGATCGATCTGGCTCAGGATAGGGACCAGTGGAGGGCTCTTGTGAACATGGTAATGAACCTTCGGGTTCCATAAAATGCTGGAAGTTCTTGAGCAGCTGCACAACTGACGTATTTTCAAGACGGCTCAGCTCCATGAATGAATGATGGAATGAATAAATTAAGTCCGGACACGAGAGGTGCTTGGTTTTCTGCAGGTGTTTTCAATGAAAGCCGTGAAATAATCCACGCAGACATCCCTACCAATTCAACTCTATAATCCTCGTGTATTCTCTTGTTCGACTGTTTTTAACCTATGCTGGCTGTTTCCCTCATTCCTTCCAGGGACATACCTATATGGTACATTAATTAGGCCACGACCACTTCCTTCCGCATCCTTTCAAATCCATTATTTACTAATCATCCTACCGTTTGTCATTGTATGGTTTGGGCGTCGTTAGCTGAGCCATGAACGAAACAACAAAATCCTTTTGAAATTTTAAATTCCCACCGTGGTGACTATGGAATGTGATGCCGTGTAGTCTGGTAAAAGTTACCCAATGTTGTAGCAGACTACACGGCGATACATCACAAAATATTACTCTGCAGTCATAGTCCTTGTTCAAGACTTGTGAGTCCGTGTAGTTTGGTAGAAAGGTGCCAGAATTTCAAGGAACTCAGTATTGAGGCAGGAGAGCTCATGTTGGTAACCTACCAGACTACACGACGTCATGTCCTGTTATTCACCGCCGTGTGAACCTCACACCTGATACGATCTGCAGTCTTGAGGAACGGAGCCTTGACACTTCACTTACCTGGACGGCCATGTTGTGAGCCTGCAAGCGACAGACCGGTGTTCCCAGCCGCTTATATATAAACCTAATCATCTGCAGATCCCTTTCTATAACGGGCACCTCCGCCACGCCTTGACCCCCGCCCTCCGGCTGTCCAGATTGCCGAGTGTACGGCGTAAAGTAGGAAATCGTGCGCCCCTTTGCTTTCCCCCCGCCAGGAAATGCTGCTCGAAAACATTTTGGCCTCTACATGTCTTTGGGAATTGATAGCTTGGGGAGAAATGTTGCGGAAGTTTATTCTGTATCTTCTACTCACTGTCATGTCCTTTGTTTATGTTCTTGTTTTCTCATATTAGAAAAATTAATGCGTATATCAGCCTCGAAGAAAATTTTCCCTGGTTTCTCCTTCACCGTCCAATTTTTTCGACGTGTATACACATTGCTAGGCAACGACTTGGTAAACGCATTCCTGCAACAATAAGGAGCCCATTGCTAGGCAACGGCCCAGTAAACACCTTCCCGCTTATCCCGCTTAAGAGCTTGACAGCAGTAGGGAGTCCAGTGCTATGCATCGGCGCCGTAAACAGGCTTCGTCAACAATGCAGGTTGTGTTTTCCGTTGGGTCCGTGCAAAGTGGGTATAAGGAAGGCGAATTCTGAAGCTTACAGTTGTTGTAGGAGATAGGTCCGACTGTAGGTCTCACTCTAAATGGACGAAATATTCCATTTGTAAATAGTGCAAAATATCTAGGTGTAATCTTCGTTAAGAGAGTTACATGGAGATTGCACATAGAAATGATCGAAGCCAAGGCCTTCAGAACATTCATTAGAGTATATTCCCTATTAAAAAATGAGCGATTGAGAGCTAACATTAAACTAACCCTCCATAAAGCGCTTATTAGATCCGTAATGACTTATGCTAGTCCCGCCTGGGAGTTTGCGGCAGACACTCATCTAGTGAAATTGCAGCGCCTGCAAAACATGGTTCTCCGCACCATTGGCAATTTCCCAAGGCGCACACCGGTCCGCGATTTGCACATAGCATTCAAAATCCCATACGTATATGACTATATAACAAAATAATGCAGGAAACAAGCAGAAGTCGTACAAAATCATGAGAATGAGAATGTTCGCAACATCGGACAAGGCGAAGCCCGCCATAGAAAGTATAAGAGGCTTAAACTTGGCGGCGGTCAGGCATACGACCGTTCAAGTGACTAAACTGCCGTGGTAGCGATTACTACTAGAAATAGGGCATAACTTGCTGTACTGACCCTGGGTTGACAGAGGCCTTGTATATATTGTACATAGAAATAAGAATTAAGATTAAATTGTAAATATATGTAAATACTGACAATGGACTTACTAACACAGACTATGACTAACAAATGACAGACCCGACCTCTCGTCAGAGAGGGCGCCCCAATTGAACAGGACGGTAATTTTCATATAAAGAAGAAAAAAATTCTGGTCAAGAGCTCCAGTCGGAGCTCGACACCAAGACAGACAGACTGACTAACCGTCAGTCGTAAGGAGACTTCATAGCGATTTGAAATGATAGTTCCGGCGATAAATCCGTTGCCAGGAAACGGATAGTGTGTCCTAGTGATTTCTGAAGTGGGTAGATCAGCGATAGCACTATAATTGTTGGTGATTCAGAGTGACTGTAAAAGATGGCGTTAATAAATCCAGTCATCCAACCCAAACCCCGTTATTATTGGTCACGACCCTAAATACATGCCATTATTAATATGGGTGTTGGTAAACAGGATCAGAGGATTGCATCTGGTTTGAAGTGACGCACGGCAAGGTCTATCTGCGGGATATTATGATAAATACTCGTATATTCTCCTAGCGACTAACTTATCTAATGAATCTAGGAGCAGTGTCTATCCCCACTACTGCGTGCTTCTGCCGGCCATTGAACCACGTGTTTATTTAACGACGGTTTGAGCACCTCAAGCCGTGTAATATAGATGATTACTGAGAAATGAATTGGGAAGCATACGGAAGGACGCGATCGTAAGGTAATTTGAGGTATTATCCTAACATTCGTCTATATTGTGACGTATCGACCCACTGCTGGGCAACGGCTCGATAAACATGTTCCCACCGAGACAGATTCTTGGAAAACAGCCGTTGCTGGGTAATGTGTATAACAATACTTGACAATAAAGGACACCCAGTGCTAGGTATCGGACCAGTAGACCCGCGGCTATAATAATACGAGACAAGAATGAAAGGCGTTTTCTGTATGGTCCGCGCCGACATTGTTTTGCTAGGCAACTACGTGGTAACACGCCTCTACAACAATAGAGAGGCTGTGTTTTTGTGTGCTGCCTGGTCCGTGCCGAGGAAATATAAAAGAGTCGAGTTCCGAAGCTAGCAGCTGTAGGAGTACAGAAGAGTACAATGAGTACAACAGAGAGTACGAGAATGAGAGCTGAAGGAGTACAACGGAGTTGTCGGCAGGAGATAGCCACGGGAAGTTAGTAGTCGAAGAAGCATTAGAAATCAAGCTGTGGAAACTTAGTGTGTGATTAGAAGATTTAGTCACGGTGAGACTGTTGTAATTCCGTTACCAGGGTAAGACTAGTGAAGAATGAGAATCCTAGTGCGTGTAACGGTGAACTGTAATATTGTGTAAACCAGCGATACCGCTGCGTTGCTTGTAAGGACAATCCAGAAACTCAGTCAAGATTGGCCAGTCGATCGCTAGCTGCAGTACGACAAGGACGTCTTGTAAGTGCACCGCTACTGAGACAGATACTGCTAGCGAAATACGACGTACGCCTCAGGGCTATCAACAAACAGCAAGTACTTAATCTACGTAATATACTTATACATTTAATATAATTATTTATTATAATCCGCCTTAATAAACAAACAACAAATCGAAATAGAAATAAAGGCTAAACTAATAGAGTGCGGCCTAAGGCCAAGCTCCAAATCACATGCACAACACACAGTCAAATACGGACTCGTATGCAGAGCAAAACCCATCAACATCATACATGCATATATCATCACCCTCCTTGACACAACCAGTCACAATCAACAACATCAAATACATAGTACCGCAACATACTATAGTCAGCCGACGAATACCACACAAATGTTCAATCCAAAGCAATTATCACATGAAGATTATCCACCACTACCAAGCCACTCCCAAAACGAATGGCATACGATCACCTATAACAGAAAAAGAAACAGAAACAACGAGGAGCATGGAGAAAATCAACATCAAAAGAAGAAACAGGTTTATTGGCTAGACAACCCAACAACAACTAATAATTATTAGTTGTTGTTGGGTCTATATTGTTGGTATATCTATTATAATAGATATGAAGGACTCTCTGAGGTATAAATGGAAACAACAGTAGATATCGCAAAAAAGGAGCCCAAACCACCACCCATATTTGTAGCAGGCGTAAAAAACATAAAACCATTGATCCAACTGTTAGACGAACTAGCAAAAGATAACTACACTACAAAAACATTAAGACATGATCAGGTGAAAATACGACCACTGAAGAGCGACGTGTATAGCACAATCCTCAAAGCTCTAATGGGAAAAAAAATACGGAATTTCATACATATAAACCTAAGAAAGACAAAACCTTTAGAGTAGTCTTGAGAAACATGCATCCAACAACTGACCTAAAAGAAATAAGCAACAGCTTAGCAGAAAAAGACATATGGTCATAAACATCTGGAATGTAAAGCAAAGGAATACTAACGTCCAACTACCACTGTTCTTTGTTGACCTCAAGGCACAAGATAATAAAGAAATATACAAAGTAAAACTACTAATGAATACGTGCGTGCAATTCGAGGCACCTCACACCAAACGAGAAATCCCGCAATGCATGAGGTGCCAGAAATACGGGCACACAAGAAATTATTGTCATAACAACCCACGATGTGTTAAATGTGCTAGGAACCATCTAACCAAAGACTGCCCTAGAAAAACAAGAGATGAAGAGGTCATATGCGTCATCTGCAAGGAGCATCACCCAGCCAACTATCGAGGATGCATAATACACAAACAAATACAACAAAAAATTTATCCAGCACTACGAGAGAGAAAAACGGATACAGAAGTCACACAACCGGGCATATCATATGCACAGATCATGAAACCCAAGATCGTACACCCAGTCCAACATGAAGGTCAGACAAAATCAACTGCACCACCACAACCAGCTAATGACTTAACTGAATTAAAACAAATGATGAAAAATCTAATGGATCAAATGGGGCCATCAATAAATCTAATAGCAACTCTGGTCAACAAATCCTCACAATAGCTGAAGTACTAAAAATAGGAATCTGGAACGCCAATGGATTGACTCAACACGTACAGGAAATGAAAATATTCCTACTACATAATAACATAGACATAATGCTAATCTCAGAAACACATTTACAAACAAAAGTTACATAAAAATACCAAACTTTAACATATATCACAGAGATCACCCTGATGGGACAGCACACGCAGGCACAGCAGTAATAATCAGAAACAATATCAAGCATTATGAGAAAGAAGGATACAAACAAAAAAATATACACGCTACTAGCCTAGTCATACAGGAACATTCAAGCGAAATAACAATCCCCTCGATCTACTGCCCGCCAAAGCATAATAACAAACACAAAGACTTTGAACATTTCTTTAAAACTTCGGGCAACAATTTCCTGGTGGGAGGAGACTTTAATTAAAAAAACGTACAATGGGGTTCCAGACTTACAAACTCAAAAGGAAGAGAATTACTTGCTACCATGAACAGCAACAACTTAAGCTACTTAACAACAGGACAACCCACATACTGGCCAACAGACAGCAGAAAGACTCCGGACATACTAGACTTTTGTGTTACCAAAGGACTTAACACAAAAAAAAACCTAGTGGAATCAAGCCTAGATCTCACGTCTGATCATACCCCAATCATAGTCACCATGTACGCCCAAATACTAGAAAAACCGAAAGAACCTTCCCTACATAGCAAGAATACGAACTGGAATTTGTTT